CTCTGGATGCGACCATCTAACCAATTCCTCACCCACCGGACAGTCCAGTATGTTGTCCCAAGTTGTCCTAGTATGAAGAAAGAGTAGCAAGTAGCTACTCTTTCAAAATCAGTATTTACCAGGGTTGTGCATGTAGGCTGCTCTAAAAATGGAGGAGAATTTGCATCCAGTCCTCTCTGCCAGAAATTGTGATGTGAAAGTAAATAGGGGAAAAAACATGAACAAATGGATCATCACAGATTCAGAACCTTAATACTATTAACGTGACAATGATGATGTCATGAATTATCTTAGAGGTAGAACTATATTTGCTGATCATACAGCATTGTTCCACAAACTAGTTCATGCCCATTTTTACAAGTTAACAGCTATCTTGTTAAGGAAACAGTGATATGAAAACTGAAGCAAAGAAGGCGGAGTTTGGAAGTTATCAGACAATTGTTCCGTGTTTAACATAAACACTTGTAATTAGTGAGCTGTCTTGGAGCTTTAACCAAGAAACAAGAAAGTGCGAGGCTCAGAGGTCAGCAATAGATCCGTTATGTAGAAATTCTTACTCCTACTTAAAGATCAGATGCATTAGCAGGACACTCTGAGTAAAGTGCATGCTCTGCTGTTCAGACCATGTGCCGTTTGCCATTTTCTAATGCTTTTCCAACAGCCCTGAAACAATTTATCAAAAACAAGCAAGCAGGCATTTAATTTACTATTCAGTCCAAACTAGATGTGTTGCTGTGAACTGTTCAGGAAATTTTGACCACTCTTTTTTTAACTGAATATGATAGATTTTTGTTCAATCTATGCTTACGATAAACGTTTATGTTCACCATTGAATCTCCTTAAATAACTCTAATGTTTGGTTTAGAACATGCAGACAATGAAGAGGAACAATGGTCAGATGATTTTGTAAGTACATATTTTGGGGCAGTAGGAGGTTACTGTAGCAACAAGTTCAGCAGAAGCAATAATAATAAAAGTTTATTTTTTAATCATCTACTTGTGGTTGAACTTAATACTACTGAAATGTTATCTAATTTGTTACATCAGCATTATTTACAAGTAGCCAATGATTTTTAGCTACCTCAGTTCTTTTTTTTTTTACATTCAACTTAGAAGTACACTCAGAAGCACTGTCAGTGGTAGCTATGGATGCTAAGCTTTTTGGATAAGTAAGCACGTGGCATCAATTTGAGGGACTTCTCAAACTGAACAGTAATTTCAGAAACCAGTAAGATCTTGTATTTGGGGGAGGGACAGTGGGAGGAGTGAGGAGGGGAAAGCCGCTTCTTCCTAAAAATGAAAAATTTCTGATAAGATTTTAGAGAACATTAGAATGAAGCAAGTCATGGTCATCAGCCATGTAAAGTAATTGCCATAGTGTACAACCATCAGCCTGCAGTGACTAGTTTCCTTCTGGAGTTAGCTCCTGAGTACCCTTTTAATAGGAAATGGAGAGGAAGTGGCAGGACACATCGGAAGTCACAGTTGGAACTAGGCCTGTGAAGGGAAACAAGCTGTTGGTCCATAATTTGAAGACTGAACTCTTGGTGTGAAAAGACTCCCTGGAGACAGGGAGCAGGAAGCTCCTGGGAGGAGCAGTAGGGGAGGCAGGTGGGAGTACCTATTTGTTCAGAGAGGGAGCACTAAAAGGGAGTGTAACGTGTCCTTTCAAGGATACATTCTTGTAGTTTAGTTAATTGTACTCCTGCAAGGATATTTGTGTCATACACTGCTATGAAGCCCTAAGTATGTTATGAGATGAGAAATGGGAAGTTCTGTCTTTCTAGGACAGTGATTATGAAAATCCGGATGACCACTCTGACTCTGAGATGTATGTGGTCCCCAGTGAAGAGAATCCTGATGACAGCTACGAGCCGCCTCCAAGTGAGCAGGAGAAAAAGAAGATTCCTTCCGCATTCCCTATTTCTAGGGGTGAATACGCAGGTAGTTATGGACTAGTTGGCTATGTCAGCTTGATAATTGCTTATTTATCAGTACCAAAAGAGGATTGGCCTCAAATGGACTAACCTGTGTTCTCAAGAGTTTGCTTTTAATTCTGGCAATCAGGTCTTCACCTTTCAGGGGTATGATTTGTTATTACAGCATGAAACAGGTTAGTATTGCTGCTAGTGATGTTTAGAATTTTAAAAAAATGTGTCCTAGAGACTTTGATAGACATCTACTAACCACAAAATTCAAGCAAAGGTATGGGAGATATCACTAACTTGGCTCCAGATTCATCTGCATAATTTAATGCAGGAATTCGTATTGAAGATTAAGCGCATAAGACTATACAGGTCCCTTCTTAATCTTTTCTGTATCTCAAATCAGTATTCCAAAAGCAGTAAAACAGAGGACAAAGCAGCCCAAATATTCACTCCGTATTGTCCTTCAAGATTGGTACAGGGGAGATTAAATATCCTGAAAAACAGGACAGGATAAAGGTTTTCTTTACATCAGTCCAGCATAAAGGCATTTTTTTCTTCCTGTTTTTCATTCTTTTCAACCATGGGCAGATTGCACTGAAGTGTATGAAAGTTAGCTTTGGTTAGATGAAGATTTGGGCCATGGGGAAAAGCAACATTAGCATGATGCCTGCTTTCATTTTTGTATGATATAAGACTGCTACTGGTTATAAATAATCATCAAAGTGCTAAAATGCCACATACGTACTCATAGAAGTTTATCAGCACTTAACCTATGTGTTCTTTGAAAAGGGGAGGAATTTTTAAAATGACACCCCACAGGACCTGGCATAACTTGTGTTGTAGTCCCACCCTTTGTACTGTAACAGTTGTTTTTCTCATATGTCAGATATGTTTTCTCACTTCCTATCACCAAAGTTCTGGTGATAGGAACAGGACATACTGTTCATACTGTGCCATGACTGGCACAGGACATACTGACTAATGGACTATACCACCCAGCCACCACCTTTTCCCCAAGGAGTTAAACAGTTGTTCGTACAACAGTCAGTGTCTAAGCACCCTCTGCAGCCTTATAAGAGGACTAGGTTGCTACCTTGAGTGGTGAAATAGGACCAGTTTGCACGCAAGTCTCAACATCAGGACCAGCATGCACTCAGGTCTGCCTTTTGACCTGAGCTGCAGCCACAATAAAGACTTGTTTGCCCAGGTAGTAGGAGATGATCCAGAGACTAATGTGTAATTTTTACTAAGATTGTTGTTTTCTTCCATATTACAAGACAATCGCACCAGTCACCAGCAGCTTCCTCCCATCAACAAACCTCTCCCAAGTACACCCAGTCCAGCCATGTCCAGACCAAAGAAACCATCCGTGCCATCCCTGCCTTTGCCATCTCCTGCTGCAAAACCAAAAGTACCACCGAAGCCTAAGGAGTGTAGTGATGATGAGGTAATGTTTATAGATATACTTGTTTGACAGTTTAAATGACTGATGACCCCGCAGCAATCATAAGGTAGACTACACAGCAATGCCACGGCCTGGTCTCTTTCTTAGCCTCTATGGTATAAATTACTTTGTACATCGCAAGCAGTGACCTGCAAGTACCGTGCTGATTCCTAGGGGATATCTGCCTACTTCAGGAGGCTTTTTAGGCCACAGAATAGTTTCTGCTCATCTGTAACAAGCTGCAGGCAATGGGGAGAGCACAATCTCAAAGGCTGCCCCAGAGCCAAAGCGAAGGGAGGGCTTTTACCCATCAGTCCAGAACTGGAGTAATTTGGTAAAGGGTTTTCAGTCTTGGAGAATCCCATCCACATAGGATGTTAAATGTCTGAAATAGCAGTCACTGTGAAATAGCAACTGTTATAAGCTGCTGCCAGGGCTTCGATCCCAACAGTTTATTGTTATGATGGAGGTTTAACTGGTAGATTTTTGTCCTGCATTTCTCATAGGATAATTACATTGTGCCAGTGGACAATGACGACGATAACTATATTGAACCCACAGAAAGCAGCATGTCACTACCTACGAGATGTGAGTTTTAGTCCTTTAAGCTAATAATTATTGCCTTGTTAGGAACAGCAGTGGAAAAATGGATCAAATTAATGTCTATTTCTAGGGTTTAAAGAGTGGAGGTGCAGCTATTAAAGAGAATGCAGCCTGCAAAAAGGCAATTGGCTCCTTTGGCCCATGACAAGGCCAAGGAAAATTATTTTTAACTTTATTGGAAGCCATGTTTAATTCCTGCCTCTCTCACTCAGCTGTTTCAAAGTCCAGCCCCTGTACAATCAGGAAGCCTTTCATGGTATGTGATCTCCCTCCTCATCCAAGGGAGCCACAGCATTAAAATTCTCTGTTTGCTGAAGTGCCTCAGGAGAAGAACAAGCCTTTTCAGGTTTTCAGTAAATAAAGGCAGACTTTGATTCTTTTTTTTTACCTCACTATTTGAAGTATATTTAGCTGGAGAGTGAAATTATTACAGTCCAAAGGTGAAAAGTAAACAGAGAAGAGTATGTAGTTCTGCTCTCTGACATTACTGACAGTATCAAACCTATTCAGCAGGGCATGAACACTGAATGATGTTTCCATTTTAAAATGAGAGCTGCTTTCTGCCTCAGTTGATTTATTCAAGGTCACACAAAAAGGCTATCACTTGGTCCTATTTAATATTTATTCTTACTGTATAAATGTTACATTGTTAGGTTTTTTTAATACATATGTGTATATATAAAAATGTATGTATATACACACACGCACAAGTATATATGTATATGAATAAAATATGGTTTTTAGCTCCTGTGAACAGATATATGAAGACAACAAAGTCAGCCCCCCCTACTTCTCCAAAGCCTTCTCTTACTTCTGATATGCAAGGTACGTAGAGTTTGTATCACTGTTAAAATAAATTAATCTAAGACTGAGGAATATTAAATTATGCTTGATGTATTCACAACACAAACCATATACATACTTCAGTAAATCAAAAATATGTTCCCCTTTAGGTTTTTCTGTGTTGTAGCAGTTGTTTTGCCTAGCTTAAATAGTAAATCTGTTTTAAGCATGAGAACAAGTCATTTGCCCCAAACCAATTTATTTTAGTCTTTTGCTCTAGCGGAGGAACGCAAATGGATCAATACAGCAAAACCAATTATAGGACTCAGTATGTTAGTAATCCCATTTCACTATAGGAATCAAGATGCAATACTTTAAAACCACATCAAGATTCAACCTCAAAGAAATTCAGTATAGGCTGATGTTTTGCATGTCCTGTGATAACAGAATTCCCGTTCAAGTTCTATAAAAAGCAATTTATTTGGAAAAAAGAAACAAAAGCAGAAGCAAATAAGAAGAATCGTATTTGCTTTTGTAAGTGCAGATATACCTGCTTAATCTTTCTTAGCTGTGCTAACTCCGAGTTGTTTTGCATCCTTGTCATGCCATTAATTGCTTGGAATGTAACCTTTACAGACTGATCACACAGTTCTTTAAAAGTCTTTGCATATTCATTAGCAATGTGTTTAGCTTTCAAATTGTAAACTACAAATTTTTTTCTTTCTGAATGACTTAAGATTTTGTGACTTACTTTTCAGACATTTTAAAATGCCCTTTTCAATCTTAGCCTTTCTGTAAATCAGTGTCAAGCAACAACCAGCTCCTGACGGAAGTTACTAAAAAAAAAAAAAAAAAAAAAAAATCTCCCCCAAATTGGGGGGGGGGGGGGGGGAAAAAAAAAAAAAAAAAAAAAAAAAAAAAAAAAAAAAAAAAAAACATCTCCCCCTGGTGGGAACTTGGACATTTTTCAGCGCAATAAAAGCAATGAAGCCTGACACAAGATTTATTGAAATATAATTCAATTTTCATTGAAGAAACTGGAAGTAGATAAGGATGCTGGTGGTCTTGGCTTTTAGTATCTGTGAATTAAAATATGCCTATGGGACAGAGCTCAGGGATGGACACTGGTCACGCAAATGAGCCAGCTTATATTTATGATTCACCTGATCTCTTCCTCCCTGAGATTCAAGGAAAGGCTAAATGCTACCATAGGTGTGATAACACATCTTTTCCAAACTGTCCCAGGTTTACACAACACAAGCATTCATCTTGCTGGGGGGGGGGGGAGAAAAACAACAAAAAAAAGTTGTGGGGTGGGAGGAAGGTTCATTAATACAGTGACCGTTTATCAGACTTCCTGGGACTTTTCCTGAAGTTTCCACTAGAAGACCAGGGGTGTAGCTACCCCAGGGTTTTGGAGGCAGAATCAAGCTCTGAGCAGATTCTCCAAGTTATTTTTCCAGAGGCAGAAGTACAATTGATAGAAATTCTGATCAGTTTTTCTGGTAACACGCAGTACGTTTTTGCTAACCAAAGAACATGTTTTTTCCTCCCTGTCCTACAGAAGTCTACGAGGTTCCTGAAGAAGAGGTAAGGCCTTTCTATAGTTTGACTCACGTTGCCCTCAGGCAGGGCACAAATGTGATTGTAAAAAAAAAAACAAACAAAAAAAAAAAAAAAACACCAAAAAACCCCAACAGTCTTTCAAAGGGGAAAAATGGGAACAAATCTCTATCTGCACTTAAAACTTTCTGACACTTACTTCACAGAAAAGCTGGCAAACCAATTCAAAAGGTCTGCAGAACAGAGTAAATGGGAAGGGGCTGAAGTTTCCCAGTCCTGTGTGATAGTGATCCAGTCTGGGACGCAGCAGCCTAAGGGAATGCTTTCCAGAAGCAGCAAAGGAGCAGTGACAGTTCTGACACAGTAATTCTCTTCCCGCTCGCTAGTACTGACGTGACATACGGGCAAAGCAGCGTGCTCATGGCTTCACAGATTTACTGGTGGTGACTTCTTGCCTCTCTCATCCTAGTGCAGATTACCAGGCAGAGTTCTACTACAACGCAAAAATAAGATACTGCTGCGATAACACAAATAGGATCATATAAATGTATTTTATGAAATCAAAAAGTGACCAAATAATTCAGTGCATTTTCTCTTACAGGAAAAACCATCACCACCACCGGTAACTAGGTAACCCATTGCTATGGATGTTTGTGCATTATTTAAAACTTGTCAGAAAATATATTTTCTCGTCTAGATACTATATGTTTGATAATTCTCTCTCTAGAAGATACATATCTAGTAATTCTCTCTCTTTAGATTATCTACACAAAGATTGTCATCCACTCCTATGTTAATTTCAGTAACCCAAACATAACACATATTAAAAAGAAATACCTCTTAAGGGTACTTTTTAGAATTTTGAGGGGGTTGGGGAGGAGAAGGAGAGTTTGCCTTTGTATTCACTGTTAAATATAATTTTCCTTTCTTAATGCATGTTTTATTACTAGGTTCACTAAGCCACTTCCGTCTATGCCTGCTCAGAATACGGAGCATTCCCACATGCACAACATGACCAGGGAGTCACCTAAGCTGGATACTTCCAGGTAAGTCAACAGCAGCTTATATCAATAGGAAATATTAGCAGAGACAAAATTTTCTCCTCTCTATTGTGTAGCCTTCAGACAATAAGCAATTGTCAGGACACACAAATAGCTAGGGATGTTGAGACAAGGTAAGAACGTAAGTTCTTATTTCCTTGCGAACTTCTGTATTCAAGCCAGTTTGCCAAATGGGTACTATTTTCTTGAATATCCCTTTAGGGATCCAGTGCAGGGGTAAAACATCTCTGCAAGCGAGTTTAAAGTCTTATTACCCACCTCTGCACCCTTGCAAATGAGATGTTTTTGCAGGAGATGGGGCACAGGATTGCTTGTAAAGAAGCTGGACACAGTAAATACATGATTTGTATTCCAAGTCTCTAGAGGAAAAGAATCATAGAATAGTTTGGGCTGGAAGGGACCTCTAAAGGTCATCTAGCCCAACCCCCCTGCCGTGGGCAGGGACATCTTCAACTAGATCAGGTTGCTCAGAGCCCCGTCCAACCTGACCTTGAATATTTCCAGGGATGGGGCATCCACCACTTCTCTGGGCAACCTGTGCCAGTGCTTCGCCACCCTCACTGTAAAACACTTCTTCCTTATATCTAGTCTAAATCTACCCCCCTTTAGTTTAAAACCATTCCCCCTTGTCCTGTCACAACAGGCCTTGCTAAAAAGTTTGTCCCCATCTTTCTTATAAGCCCCCTTTAACTACTGATAGGCTGCAAGAAGGTCTCCCC